AGCTCCTGCGTATTACACTTGTTCTCTGGGTGACAGGGCTCAGTTTCCCCGGAGAAAATGGCTGCTTTGGAGGGTGGATGCTATAGCAAATATACCCCGCTGAGGCCCCTCCCCAAACCCCGCCCTTCCTGGGCTCCACCCCAAAAATCTCCAGGTATTTCCTAACCCAGAGTGGAGCCCTTGGCATAACTATGCTTAGTTCTACACTGCTAGCCACTGGTGAATGGTTTTGCAGACAGAAGGACCAGACGCTGAATACAGAAAGTGCCCGGTTTTGCTCTTCCTCTATTCCAGTGGTGGCGAACCTATGGCACGGGTGCCAGAGGTGGCACTCAGAGCCCTCTCTGTGGGCACGCGCCCCATCGCCCCAGCCAGGCCCAGACCATCGTTAAAGTGTTGAATTCTCTGCCAAATCGCAGGGCTCTACTGGTAGCAGGAGCTCCTTTGCATATTAGGCCACACACCCAGTGTAGCCAATGCTCCAAGAGCTTACAGTAGCCCCAGTAAGAAGAGCTGTGTAAGCTCTTGGAGGATTGGCTACACTAGGGGTGTGTGGCCTAATATGCAAAGGAGCTCCTGCTACCAGTAGAGCCCTGATATTAAGTAAATGAAAGCATTTGGGATTGCTTTCCTTACTTTGTTTGGATCATCTTAAGTTAATGTGTGAGTTGTTTTTTATCTTAAGTTAACATCAACATTCAGGTTAAATTGCCGTGTTGGCACTTTGCGATAAATAAGTGGGTTTTGAGTCGCAGTTTGGGCACTCAGTCTCTAAAAGGTTCGCCATCACTGATTCCGTGTCCCCCGTGGGTAGCAGAACCCTCTGGAACGATCAGAAGGCCCTTGCTAAAGTCCCCCTGCTAAAGCGCAGGAAGGTGCAGCGCCCGGATAGGAGAATACCTGGGAATCCTGGCCCACCTGCCTTCCGTTCCCGGGAGTAAGTCAGAGGAGACATCAAATTGCAATCAATAAATAAAAGGCATTACTTTATAACGCTCAACCAATCAGAATAAATCATGGAAAACACACAGATGAATGCAACCTTGCTTAATTCAATCAATCTTCCTTTGCAAAATAAACTTTTTAAGAGTCACGTGGGGGGGGGGGATAGTAGGATGCACCTGGGCCCAATGGCCGCTGCTGCTGGGCCCCGTTCTATGCCTGGGAGCGCCACCGGCTCTCCTAAATGATGAAAACAACTTTACAAAACTCCCCGAAGTCCTTCGGCTGAAACAGGACAGGCTTTGAGGACAAGTCCTAACAGGTCACCTTCAGCCACCATCCGTTTTCCAAGCACCTCGCCAAAAAGGATTGGCAACAGCTTGTGGAATGTACAGTCCTTTGACGGCAGGGGTCGGGGACCGGGCGGGAGGGAGTGGGTTTTTGACAGTAGCAGCCGGGATCAAGGTTAATCCAATAGACACATCTAGCCAGAAAATGGATACCGTATCAAAGCAGG